AATAGAAAAAAAAGTTATATTTTCTTGATATGCTAAAAGTGACAAGTAAAAAAAAATAAAAAAAATAATGAACAAATAAAAAATAAAAACTTGTTTTTAAAATAATGAACCGTTAAAACTAAACGAAATGAGTAATACTTAAAAACTATCACCCGAACATTATTACCAAAGCTTTAGCATTCTGTAGACTTGAGTAATTATAAGTGTTAGATTTACAATATGATCCATTAATTTAACTTTAACTTGGAATAGAGAATTATTGGAGTTTAAATAATTAGTTTAAAGAATATTTCAAGTAAAATAATGATTTTCACTTTCAAAACCTTAACCATTTTATCAAGTGGAAATCATATCCAACCTCATCAACTTCCAAATATCTTTTCTCAACTGCAACTTGAATTATTATTTTTTTGCTTTTAGAAAATCAGCCACATATTGTCCAAATTAAACCTCTGTTTGGACCTAAATATATATAATACTTTTAATATTTGCCAATATTTGTTTGCCTGTATAAGTATTTTTGAGAATACTTAAACTTCAATATTTGAATACTAGTCAAATATAGAGAAAACATGCTTGAGGATGAGTATCTTAAATGAAATACTTCTTTCATTTCGGTTTATGTGAAATTATTTGACTAAGTATAAAATTTAAGAATGAAAGAAAGACTTTTAAAGCTAATCGTGTACATCATCTTATTAAGAGTAAAATGAGAAGTTTAAAGTTAAATTGTTACTAAATATAGAAATATATCATTTTTATACCAACTAAAAAATAAACAATGTTATCACATAAATTAAAACAAATGACTAGTAGTAATGCTTATCACATACAAATCTTCAACCTTTTTTCAAAGAATAATTCTCATCCAAACACAAAAGATATTCTCTCTCAACTTCAACTTTAAATCCTTTTTTTTTAAAAAGAACTTCAAGAAATATTTCTCAAATATCTTCAAATAAAGTCCCTTTTAATTTGACTTGAACGGATTACTCGGATGTTAAGCACCCTCCAGGTTTGACTCAAAAGAGTGAGGATTAAAATAATAATCAAAAGGAAAAAGCTCATTTAATTTATTAATTTGATTTCTTTAATTATAGTTTTCTCCTTGTTAGAGATGCAAATGCAACTTGTGAAGGGTGATATGAGTTGCATGAGGTATAGTGGCACATGGAGAGGTTGGTGTTTCAAGAGTGATGATTGTTCAAGCCAATGTAGAAGTCAAGAAGGGGCTCTAGGTGGAGCTTGCCAACAACTTGCTTGTGTTTGTTTCTTTTGTGGCTAACAAAATCACTAGCCAAATTACTACCAAATAATAACAACAATCTTTCAAATCTTAAGCTCATGACAACATAAAGGCCCTTTTATATAGAATAAAATTTTATATATATATTCAGTGTCCTCAAACTATACTATATGCATCTTCTACAATATTAATAAATGTTGTAATGAAAAATTTGGTAACATATACTTGGAAAAATTGTTGGGATCAGCTCTCCGTTTATATATATTAGTTTAGAGTATGTGCTTTGTACATGTATATGTCCTTAATTAGTAAAATAAATAAATATAATTTTAGTATATTCAAGTCATTAACAAAAGTAATATGTTTTTTTATGCTCTGTTGAATAAAATTAGAACTTATATCCTTTTTCCTTATGAATTTTATTTTGAATAATTGAGATTAGGGTTCTTTTTATAAGAATAAGAGAGAGGTATTGAAAACACCCTAAACTTGGTGCAATTCGAAAAGACAAACCGAAAGTTTTGGATACAATAAGAAAAGTTAAAGATAAACTTCAACTAGATTTAAATTTTAACAAAAATCAAAACACAATAGAATCATATTTCACTAAATTGTCTTAGATATAGTTATACTTTTAAAGAATTATTGATTTATAATACTAATGGGGCCATATATTTATAAAGGAGTCTTCTGAAAATATATTATCTTATCGAAGTGAGTGATTTTTTCCATCGTCCCAAATCAGGACCAGAGGAAAATATTGACTTAGAGAGATTATTGATTTACCGAGTATTAATTTAGTGAGGTTTTAATGTATCTAAATTTCGTTAGTCAAGTATAGAGGTATTTTTAAAGCTTTCAATAATTCAGAAACGAAACTAATAATTTACACAAAATTTATAAATGTTTTCAATACTTCTCTCTAAAGAATAATTTGAAGAAAAGAAGCAGGAAAAGAGAAACAACTAAAAAAGTGGGTCAAGAATTTAATTTCACGGGACATGAGTTTCATTAATATAAATCTAAGTTGTTTGTCTTAAAAATAGACAGAGACCACAATTGATAAGTTTATGAATATAGTTAAAGAACTAAAATCGATAAGTATATTTTAAAAAATCATTTTAAACCTACTCCTATAAATAAAAGACAATTTATAACATTTTCTCCACAATTCTACTCCTGCTATTTTCCTTCAATAAAATTGTTACACCAGTCTCATTTCATGTTTTCTTAAATATAATTTATTGCTCTTTCCACAAGAAGAGGAGGAAAACTTAAAAAAAAAAAAAAAAGATCCACAATCTGCGGACATAATTTGACTTTGATTAGTACTAAATGTTATCTCTAAAATTGCATTAATCATGTTCAAATTCTGAAATTGTTTGTTTTAATTTTTCAAGAATGATTTCTCTAGTTGTTTGATTTTGTTGTCTGTTGTAGCTTAAGCAAGTAATCATGTTCATATTCACAGATTTTCTAATACCCTAATCCTCTTAATCAAAGATGACTTTATTTTTTTAATCCTGTTCATTAATTAAAGAGAGGAATTTAGCCTTGCAACATTTTTAATTATGTCCTTAATTATCTCATATTTGAAAGAGGAATCGTTATACTAAAATATTTTGGTATAACACATTTCCCAAAGATGCCACTACAACATACAGTGGATGAGGTTAAGAACCTTAACTTTAAGGGGTCGTTTGATACAAGGATTAATAATATAAGTAGGGGTGTGTATCGATTGGTTTGGTTCGGTTTTAAGTATTAATGGTTCCATTTATTGATTTTTGGTTTTCAAATATGCTAAACCGATAAGATATTTGTTATCGGTTTTCGATTTATCGATTTTTGATTTTTAACGGTTTGGTTTTCGGTTTAACCAATAAGAAAGTGCTTTCAAAATAAATATATGACTTGTCTAACAATTTGACGCGAAATAAAAAAGAGAGAAATCAAATTACTCATTGATTGAACTTTTTTTGCTTATAGTGTAGTTAAAGTATATCAAATACTCACAATTCACAACCCTAGTCGTTGCCTAACCCTTGCCATCGTCGTTGCAAACCCTAGCCGTTGCAATTCTTAATTCTTTAGGTTTTGATGTTATGAACCTAAAGACTAAAGTAATACTAAAAGTAAAACCTAAAGGGTAAATGCATAGAGCAGAACTAAGTAGTTTTAATTGTATAGGGTCCTTATAGTTATAGTCTAATATAGTGATTATATTAACATTTTTTGTTTGATATTTATATATGACTAAAAATTAAAATAGTAAATTTTAATTCTTAATGAGTTATCGGTTAACCCAATATTGAAAAAAATCAATATCTAATTGATAGCCCAATATTTTTTTTTATAAAACCATTAAATAATCGTTAATCCAATAAACCAATAAAAATAAATTAATAACATATTTTTCAGTTCGATTTATCGGTCGGTTTAGTTTGTAAACACCCCTAAATATAAGGATTAGTAACGCAGGGATTAGTAGTGCATGAATTCAGGATTTATTTTTATCAAGTGTTTGCTTAATTGTTTTTCACCTCATCTTGTGTTTGAATTAAAACTCTATAAAAAGTTTCTTTCCAATTATATCCTTGATTTTTTATGTAATTGGGTCAAGGTAGATAATTGTTGGATAATATTATTTTTTTTATGTTTTTTTCTAACTAGCTAGGAGAAGAACAATTTTGTTGTCATGTATGCTATTTTTTCACTTGAATTATTTGAGGATAAATAATTGTCATCTTAATAAATTGACCACTCACAAAATGTCAATTTTCAATTTTAAAAAGATAAAACATCTAATTCAAAAATCGAAATGACGGTAAACAATAGTAAAATTGTATAAACCATCTACATTTACACATATAAATTACAAGTTGTAGTTTTGATATGTATGCAATTTTATAAATTGTTCAAAATACAAATAATTAGAAAACCACACACACATGATTACTAATACCTCCAAGTGGAAAGAATTAGTAATACATCCTATAATACCATGTAGGGTGTATAACTAATCCATGGATTAATTATACATAGGCCCAAATTCCTACCAAATATAGTACTAAATAATATACCATACATAACACATGAATTATTTCTCCTAATACTCCGTACCAACGACCCCTAAATACCTTAATAGAGAGAACCTAACCTTGAGTTAGAAAAAATAACAATAAAAGTTCAATGGGTAAATATAATTTGTTAATGTTGTTTTGAGCATCGAAAAAAGCATTAAATTATTATGCCTCGTCCCAGGTGTAGAATTTTCACGCAAAGAATTTAGAGAAATCAAGGATTGTATTGATCATTAAAACTGTCAAGTACATGCTCCTTATATAGGAGGAGAGTCCTAGCTAGAATACAGATATATAATTTACATGAGTATCAAGTATAGGTTTACTATTACTAGAATTATAATAACTTATCCTAGTCGACGTCAGCTAGTATAAAACAGAACAAGTCAACAACCTAGTTGACATCTAATTAGTATTTAATAGCCCAGGCCCAGTGTAATTCCAATTCCAACTTTATAACAGTTAACACGTTGTTCAACTTGTTCCATAAACATATTCGATCCATATCTTCAGCTTTCTTTCTCTTCAACACCAGATGTTTACTGTTATAGGGAGAGGATATGGAGATGTCAAATGTGTTAAAGTAATAGGGACATGAAGTATTCATACTTATACAAATTTATATAAGTTTAATATAAATTTTACCAACAAAAACAGGAAACAATACTATCTATCCAAACATTATATTTATTAAAACAATACAATACAAATACACGTAAATTGAAGGCGCTAACATAACTAGGGGTACAACCAATTTTAGTAAATTGGACATCCTTATTCAAACAACACACAACACTACCACATATTTGATAGTAAAACACTCTTAGAAATCATTTACAGGTGAAATAGCAGAAGCAAGCAAATCCAATGCCATTTTGGTGACAAGCTCCAAAACGAGCATCCTCTTGTTGCTTGCATTGACGGCTACAATTGCCTGTGTTAATACACATCCCTGACCATGTCTGGCTACGCCTTTGGCATACTTTTGCCTCTCCAACTTGCATCTCTGCATAATAGAAGAGTTAACATGAGTTTATGCTAGAATCAGGGGTGGAGCTAAGCAAGGGTTCAATTTTATACTGTGCAAATTGTATAAAATACTAGTATAGTGGTGAAGGACGTTTAAAATGTTGATTTAGGAAAAACGTATGATATTCTAGTTATTTTTTAATCTTCGTGTATACTATAGAATACAATTTATTTATCCTGACGTAGAAAAAAAAATAAAGTGATGATATGCCATAACTAGTTAGCATTGTGCTATATAACAACATATAAGTTCTTCATACTGTCAGAGTGTATAACTTAACGTTATCAACTAGAAATATGGTAACAATTAAAATTCAATCTTTCGACACACTTGCAAAGTGGAAGGTAAGAAGCTCACCATTGGATGCAATGAGGAGGAAGCAAAACAAGAGGGCTAGAATGAGTTTGGTATTCATGATGATGGATTTAATTAGAAAAAATAATGTGTAAGTTTGTTGTATGAATTGTAGTGAAGAGGTATTACTAGCTAGCTATTTATAGTGAAAGATTTCCTCCTATTCAAAGAATGTTACATTTGGGGCTAATTTTGTCCATACAATTTTGTTCAAAAGGAAATATATAATAGTATAAAATATTATTATTCTGAATCTAGCATTAAATTTAATCCATGGATCAAAGATCACAAGACAAGAAGATTTACTTGTTCATTTTCTTTTATTTTATATAGAAAAGAAATGCTCTAAATTTTTTAAAAGGGCAAATCTAACTACAAGAACTACACCATGACAAAAACTTCTTTTTGTCATATCTTTCTCTTTTTTTTAAAAAAAGAAAAGAATATCATCTAAAGAAATAATGATTTTTAATTATTTTAGTTTTTGTACATAATTAAAATTTTGACTCCACCACTACAACATTGAGGATCATGAGAAAATAAGATAAGTTAATTAAATGACGTTTACTTGAATTTGGTTGGGTCGTGTTTCTTTTTTAAGGGAAAATTACGCGGATAAACAAACATATACTAGTTAATTCGCTAACATTGCTATAGTTTGAATTAATTACGGCTCGTAACTTATTTTTAGTTATATTTACGTTCCCTCTCTCCTCTCTTCCTCTCTCTCGCCTCTCTCCTCTTTTATACAAATTATCAAATACAAATTATACATATAAATATACAATTATATGACAAATATACAAATAAAATTAGCCTCTCTCCGCTCTCTGTCCTCTCTCGCTCTCCTTTGTCCTCTCTCTCCCGCCTTTGTCCTCTCTCTCCCAATCTCGCTCGCCTCTCTTCTCCCTCTCTCAATCTCGCTCGCCAGATATACAAATACATATGTGTACCAGTTACGTATATACAATTTATTTGACATATATACATATACAGTTCGCCTCTCTCACTCACTCTCTCCTCCCTCTCTTCTCCCTCTCTCAATCTCGCTCGCCATATATACAAATACATATGTGTACCAGTTACTTATATACAATTTATTTGACAGATATACATATACAGTTCACCTCTCTCACTCACTCTCTCCTCCCTCTCTCAATATCGCTCGCCAGTTATACAAATACGTATGTATACCAGTTACATATATACAATTATTTTGATAGATATACATATACAATTCGATAGATATACGTATACAATTCGCCTCTCTCCACTCTCTGCCCTCTCTCGCTCCTCCCTCTCCCAATCTTGCTCGCCTCTCTCCTTCCTCTAACATGTAGCTATAAATCGTAATTAGCAAACTATAACTATGAAGCATAATTAAGCTATTTTTGAATGGTTGAATGCGAAAATTCCCCTTTTTTAAGTTTTTAATTCCTTTTCTCGTGGAAGAAATCATGTAAATCTTATTTTTGACCGCTACATATTATTTATCATTTCAGCAGGGAAAACCAAGTCCTTATTGATAAATTTGGTGATGAAAGACTAGGAAAATGGTACATGTAGCTGTAGACTTTTAGAAATTGATTTTTAGGAAAAAGAAGTAGGTGTTTTGCAACCTCCTGTGCCTATAAGGAAAGGACATTCATGACTCGATGGATTCAAAATTTGAAATTTATAGATATTCAAAGAATTTGAACGTCCCTCGATCGAAAGGACAATAAAGCTTTATAAAAAATCTATTACTAGACGAACAATATGCTCTATTAATGATTTTCCAAATCCTTTTTCTCATATATACTGGATTTTTAATACAAATACAAGATACATGTATGTTGTATATATTTAGTACGATTCGCATGTATTTGGGATACCAAATATGAGAGCGAGATGGAAGGGAGGTGAGGCAGATTTGTTTATGTATTTCAAATACACGTGGATTCACTTGGATATAGTGTATCTAAAACAAATTGCACTTAATTTTGACCCCAAGTATTCCTAGATATTAGGACATATTCGACGCACTAAAATCTAGTAAAATGCATAATGTTACAAATTAACGTGTATCCAAGTAATTAACTCCTAAACTAGCTAGTGTAATTTCTCCAAGTTACCCTATGTTGTTTCAATAAAATTGTTACTGATTTATGTTTTCTTAAATATAATTTATTGCTCTTTCCACAAGAAGAGGAAGAAAACTTAAAAAAATAACAAGATCCACAATCTGTGGACATAATTTGACTTGGATTAGTACGAAATGTTATCTCTAAAATTGCATTAATCATGTTCAAATTCTGAAATTGCTTGTTTTCCTTTTTCAAGAACGATTTCTCTAATTGTTTGATTTTGTTGTCTGTTGTAGCTTAAGCAAGTGATCATGTTCATATTCAAAATATCAGGTTTATTAATACTCTAATGCTCGTATTCAAAGATGACTATATTTTTTTAATAGTCTTAATTAATATTAAATAAAGGAATTTAGTCATGCAACATTTTTAATTATGTCCTTATCTCATATTTGAACGAGGAATCGTTGACATTTCATTCACTCCAATACCGTTACACTGCGAATGATCTTTAGTGATAATTAATTAGTGATAATATTTTAATTACCGCTAAATATGTATTTTTAATGGCAATTATTATTCTTTTTCAAATGCCTCTGAAGTACTCCATAGCGATATTGGATCCAATGACAATTAAATATTCTTTATTAATGTGTTTATGTATTACCAATAAAAAGTATTTTTTATTATAGTGTATTGAAATATTTTCCTATTGGAAATTATATATCAATCCTTTGGAAGTTTCAAATCTACATATATTTGACTACCAAGTTTTATATTCAAATAAAACTTTATTTCACAATAAGTCCCTATATTAAATGAACAATTGATGAATTGACTATGAATTTTTTTTTAAATGTGCAATAGTAAAAATAATGTTTTGTTGTCTGAACTTATCTTCAAGGAGGCATCATTTTCAATTCATTCATTCCAATACTCTCTATTCTCAAATATCTTACATTTTCTCATGTTGAGTTGATTAAATTTTGGAAAAATTACCTGTATACACATCTTTTTTTTCTATAATTCCCATTATTCCCTATCATTTCTAAAATTTTCTAAAATCCCTTATTTTCCTCCTAAAACTAATCTGCCGGATACATAACTCACAATTCCAAAAATCAAAGTTTATCACTTCCTGATTTCACTCCACAAATCTCTCCCCCATTTTCTTATCAGTTAATTTTTTCATTACTTTGAAATTCAAAATCAAGTCTCTATCCTGTACAAAACTAATCCAACGTGAAATAGGTAATTTGTTCATCTCTTCAAACTATTTGTTCATCCTTTATTTTTCATTTTTTTCTTCTTCAAAACATTGAATCATATGGATGATGCACCATCTTTTAGTCTTGGTTTTACACAATTAAACTCAAATAACACTTGTTGTGTTTTTGATTCCAAAGATATTACTTGGATTGAAAACAAATCAAAAAACTGCACAATCCATTAATAATGGCGAAAATAAACATTGAGAAGTTGAAGAAGGAGCATGTAATACCAAATTTGTCGTGAGATGGAGAGCACTGATATTATTTGTGAACAACAATGGAGGACGAGATGAGATGGGAATATTATATGGCTCAGTCGGAGATTGATAAGTTTTATGTTGAAGAAATTCCCGAAAAGTGATGAGGTGCGAGTTTACCGAATCTACAGAAAGTTTATCATTACTAGAAACATAAGCTCAGTAGAACTTATATATCATATGGGTTTTTTTAAAAAAAATCTATCAACTTTTATACCTTTTTTTTTAGTTAATCACAAATCATACATAAACAACGAAATTCATGTTTCATATTGTAATGTATCAGCATTTAAGTGTAATCAGTTAGTATGCCGATCTTCTTTATTGATTGTTGAATGTGTTTCGATTAGTTAATCAAACAATGATACATTAATAAAAATATAATATTTCATATTGTAATGTATCAATATCTAAGCTTAATTAGTTGATACACTAAAACCCTAATTTTGTTCATTATTTAAGGAGTTGTTGTAATTTTCTGGAATTATTGATAAAAAGATGATGTTCAACAGTGTATCATTCAAAACTTGTATTTTTTTAGTATGCATCAGATACAAAAGTTTAGCTAAAATGTATCAGATACAAACATAAGATAAATGACAAGTTACTAATTTAACTGTACTTCTTTGTTTGTATCATGCTTAAGGGTTGGAAATTTTTTGTATCATGTTCAACTGGTGGGCATTTTTGTATCATGTGTGGAGTTATTGTAATTATGTGAAATTATTGATAAAAAAATAATGTTTATTGGTGTATATATCATTCAAAACATGTACTATTCAGGTGTATCAGATACACAAAGTTCACTAAAATGTATCAGGTACACACATTAGATACATTGCAAGTTACTAATTTAAGTGTAATCAATTATTTTGTATCATGTTTAAGCGTTGGGTAATTTTTGTATAATGTTACAACTATTGGGCATTTAGTATCAGATACAAATATCTGTCAGATTGTATAGATCATCAATTGGTATTGAGTATCAATTACTCTTTTTTATCTATTATGTATCAATTAAACATTAAGATACTTTGTAGTTACAATTATGTATAGCTTTTTGTTACGCCTATTTAGCTAGTGGGGCATTGGTCATAGCCGAAATTCGTCGAAGGGATAAAACCAAAATAAAGAAGAGAAAGAAAGGGAAGTTTTTTCTTTCTTTCAATCCAAATATCATAGGATTAACTTGACATGTTTCTCATGATAATGCCTTTGTTGAGTTCCTTAGTGACGAAATCAACATCCCATCAAATAGGTTTCGAGCTGATTATCTTCACACAAGATATGAAGCATTATTATGGAGATGCGATACTGAAAAGGCAAAGTCAGACTATGTCAGCAATAAAAATGATCCTCTAAAATCCAAGGGTCGCTTCACTCCATCACAGCAAGATGATTTGGTTCTTGTCGAATAGCGATTATGTATCAACGAATATACACCCTTTGATGTTTTGTTTCTTTTTTTAAGACAATTTTATTTAGGCTTTAGAGTGTTACTCTAAAAACTGTTTCATGTCATTTTCTA